CCGGCAGAACCCAAGGCCAGGCTAGATGGGGCTTTGGACAACCTGATTTGATGGGAGACGTCCCTGCCCATGGCAAGGGTTGGAGTTAGGTGGGCTTAAATGAGGTCTGAGAAGGGGTGAATCCTGGCTCCACCTCTTCTGGTCACTCAGGTGCATTGCTTGCACCTGATCTCCTCTAGGTTGGCCCTGCCTTCCCTCTAGGTGTTCAATCACTGTCTCAAGCTGTGACTTAGCATTTCCACTATAGCATCATAGCTAATTTCTGGGGAGAAGATAATCAGGACACCATTGAGAAAATGCAAAGTTACACAGGATTAATGTATACTCCTGGAGGAGCATTATCACAGTAAATAAAACTTGAAAGGCACAGCAGATGAATAAGTTAACTGTATTGATAAAACAACAGTCATGTCAACAGAATGCAGTTCCACACCCAAGAGGAGAATGTAATATAGGGTTACTGATGGATTGCTTGACCATAGCAAGGACAAAGTCCAAGATGTCCCAAAGAAGAACACTGTGGGACTACAAGATGCAGTAATAAGGCAAAAAGTCATGTACTCTGAGTAAACACAATGACAAAATATGATGCTGAGGCTCAATATTTAGACACCTATGAGAACTACTTCTTGGAGATGTAGTCAGGGGCGAAGGAACTCTTTGTGCAGCCTACATTTGCTACGGTGATATTAAAAAGCTGCTTTTGTGAGAAGCTGTAATGCAGTGAGATTTGGTATTGTAGGAAGAAGGCAGCCAAAAATATCATCAGTGCAGGCTTGGATATAGCAGAGACCTATGAAAAATGATAATTTTTTAAAAGGAAATTAATAGGAGCCAGAAACGGGTGAGATGTTTGCAAACAGCATGGATGTTGTTTAAAGACACCATAATAAAGGCTCAGAGAAAATACATGGTATGTATCAGAAAAGATTTTTTAAAAGACCAGAAGAAAGCTACTGTAGTTAAGGATCAGAGCACAGGAGACCATTACAAGCAAGAAGTCTTCGTGTTCAAACAAGGCAAAAATACAGAGCACGCATTCTCCTAAAAAAGGTAAAATAAGAAGATTCGAAGAATACCTTTCTAGCATCATGAAAAGATTATTAATCCTTTTCCAAATATGACTGGGTTTGAAAACCTGTCAGGCAGCGTGAAGAGCCAGAGGACTGAGGTTTATGGTGAATAACTTCAGGTCTGCAGGATGCAGTGGATGCATGAAATAATGCTAAAGCAATTTGAATATGAAACTACTAGATTGGCAAATATGTTGCTGGACTTCTCACATCTCAGAGAATCGTGGCACGGCTGAGATTTCAGGCACCTTTGGGTCCATCTGGTCCAATCACCCCTGAGAAGGAGCACTTTGAGCAGGATGCCTGGGACCTTGTGAAACTGGGGAAGAGTCCACGTGGCTTTTGCAGACTGGAGTCTTGTTTAACAGAACTGTCAGCTCTCTGCAGCACCAACTATCGTGCCAGTCTGGTTGGTGTTGTCCTTGCAGGTTTTCAAAAGCCACTACTAAAAGCTGCTGAGTGCAAGAGGGCATGGGCATGATTATTACAGGAGGTAAAAAGTCTTTCACTGATTAGAGGATGAACAAAGTGTTTTCACAAGATAGGGATGGCTAACAGGATCCTAGCACTGGGACATGGACTATTGGGCAAATCTGAAGTTACTCGACTATTCGCTGATGATTTGAGGATGTGCAAATGAAAACCATTTGCAGAAACCTCATAGCTCCAAGAGGGTGGGTGATAAAATGGCAGCTGAGGTTCTGTGCTGTCATGGCAAATTAAAGCACATGGGGAAAAGCAGCTCTAAAACTCTGACAAGTGCTGGTGCTGAGGAGGGGCTGTCAGCAGAGATGTGATCTCAGAGCGGAGGCAGACAGGGCCATGAAAACATCAGAAAACCATTGCTCAGACAGAAATAAAAAGATTTCTTTTCCCCTCCAAATAATAAACTGAATGTTAGGAGCTGCTAGGAAGTGAAATAATAATAAAAGAAAACCCATTGTTTCACATTTCTAAGACCACATCTGGCGAAATGCATCCAGTTTTTAGTCTCCCCATCACAAAAATCATGTTGACAAACTGGAGTGAGACTATTGGTGCCCTCAACATTCCTAAAGAAATGGAGTACACAAAATATGAGGAAAGGTTAAAGGAATTGAGATTAATCTTATGAAAACAAGGCTGAGTGGATTTTGTTGCCACCTTCAACTGCCTTAATGGAAATGTTCAGAAGACTGAGCCAAAGTCTTTTTGTAGGTGCAGAGAGGACGAGGTTCAAGTGCACACAGGCAGCAGCAAGGGTGGTTCTGGTTAGACAGATGGAAAAAGAATCCTTACTATAAGGTAACCAAACACTGAATGGGCAAAGGAATTGCCACCCTTGGGATACTCAAAGCCCAGATGAACAAAGGCTGTGAGCCGTCTGGGCTAATCTGGCCCTCCTTTGAGTGTAGGATTCGACAAAGATCCCTCTATCTACTTATCACTCCAGTGTTGCATTGCAACTCTGTAAGTCATGGCCATGCAGGTGGCAACCGTGCTCATGGCAAGGGATTGGAACTAGATGAGCTATAAGCCCTTTCCAACCCAAGCCATACTATGTGCCCTCACATCTTGTAGAACATACGCTTACAGAAAAAAAGAAATAAAATTCTACCACTATTTTCTAGTGGGCTCATTCAGAAAAGATTACTCAGCAGACTGGGTCCCCCTGCTAAGGCTACACCAATGCAAGGCTTGGCCTAGCCTAGCATTTTCTATAGTATGCTATATTGGGGAAACAGAGAGCCCAGTCCTTCCTGTGGCCTTGAATGCTGCTTCCATGCGTTGGCACGTCTCTTGCCTGGTGACATGTTTCTATAGGTGAAGTAAAAGTGCTCAAGGTGGAAGCTGTTGGCAGAGAAAGGGAAAAGCTGCTGCCAGGGCCTCTGAGCCTCACGGTTCTGAAAGCTCCTCTCTTCCCCATCTGCCTTTCTAACCAGCAGAGCATTCTGCAACGTCTGTATTTAATTCTGGCAGGTTGTGAAGGGCAGAGGGGGGAGAAGCAGTGGGTTTTGTACCAGTTATCATTCTATCCAGTGGCAAGCTATACTTTACGTTGGGGAAAGATGACTAGACGCATGCTTTTGTGACATCAAGTTAGATCTTGGGATGTTGAAAATAATAGGAAAAATGCATTTCCTGTTAACTACTCTAGGAGCAGCTTGCACATTTCTGAAAGCAGATGGCATGATGTATATTAAATTATCACTTATGTCGGGGGGCTTATTTTAAGGATGGAAGTGTCGTCTCTTGGTGTCTGTGCCAGAACTGCTCATCCCCAAATGAGGGTTTTTGCATGCCTCTAGCTATCCTGGAAAATACTTGAAGGAACACACCCTCCCAAAGACAGGTTAAAACTGTACCATCGTCTTCTTGTTTTGCATCTTTCAGTGGAAAGGGAAAGCGGTTTTTAAAACCCACTTTAAAAAAGAAGGGTCCAAACTTGCATGAACTGAAACAAAAGCAAATTGCAGATTTCATTGTAAATCTCCTCCATGTAGCTGAAGGGTTGCATTGACAAAAATAACATGAATAAGTGGCGCAAAAATGCCTTGTAAAGAAGTCTAAAGCAAATGTTGAGCCATCAACAATATTTATAACCTCTCACACTCGGAATAGAAGATACCAAGGGACTGCAATTACAGAGATATGACAAATGCTGAATTTTTAATGACTCCAGCTGTAGGACCCTTCATCGTCTGAGAACACTGCAGCTGGGAGTCATAACCTCAGTTTTATCCATGTACATTGGTCCTATCTTATGCACTGTCCAGTTTCTCCGTAAGAAATATTGCTATTGACCACCTACAGAGTTATGTTCAGTTTTGCAGATATCTAAGTTCCATTTTTCACCTTGTTTTGCTCCTCTCCATAGTCTAGGCTCATGATAGACTACTCTTCTGTCTCACTTGCAATGCTTTGCACTCATTCTGATGCCTTATGCCACTCAATTGTCAAAACACACTCTTCTGTGAATGAACTGCACTTTAATCCTCTTCACACCACTATTTCTAAATTAGTCTAGTAATTCTATCCCACCACCATGTAAAACTCCATCCAAGAATCAGCTCCTGCACAGGACTCACTATGGGTTTGAGATACTCTGTCTCATTTGGAATATAAGCCCCCGGGGGCACGAGAGGTGACCAAGTCCCATTGATTGCCCTAGGACTGAAATATGTAGAGAACCTACAGAATTTCAATGCCTCAGTATGTTTGAAGATCTGGACCTGTGCCTTCCTGCACGTGCTGCAAAGCAATACGATCCATAGCAATTCCAGTAACAAATGGAATCTAAAAGTCAGTATGTTGTGTATAATAGTTTAGTATGTGTTCTGATCTATTTTACATATCCTGTTAACTTATTTCCCTCCAAATATACTGTTACCTAGTACTTAATTTCTCTTTCAAGCGACCAGCTGCTCTCAGAAAATGTCTTGATATTTCGGTTCCATTTGAGGTGTGTCTTAACCCACTTTACTATGATTTCTCCAATCTTAAACATAGGACCTGTCTCCTTCTGAGCACCTGAGCACAATTTGCCAAGCAATGACAGGCTCTGCTGTGCATCCATTCCCAGAAGAGCCTTCTGTGCTACAGTTCAATAATCACTATTATTCCTGGATGGCAAAGCAAAGTAAGATATCTCTGGCCAAAACAGTGAAAACTTCTCATCACCTTTAATGAAGCACCGGTTTTATGTTACTTTCACGTGCTTTGCCTACGCAAGTCGATGAGAAAGCAGCTCACGTTCCTGACCTGCTGCAGTGGAGGCAGGAGCCCAGCAGAGGGCTCAGGAAGCAGCCGCCAGCCCTGGGAAGCATCAGCATCCCTGGGAAGGTGCTGGGCAGGCGAGGCAGGGCCCGAGGGAAGAGCTCATCTGTTCAATCATATTCACCGTGCTCCTTAAAACATCTCATACAGCATTAGCAAATAAACAAGCAGTCCCGACAACATCAGCTTTTATTACCGTGGATAGTGTCATACATGTATTTTTAATCTTTGCCTGGGTATTTCTTACAAACTTTATTAATAAGAGGGAATGCTGCTGCACAGTAATATATGATTGCACTTAAAGCTTATGAAGCTCCCCTTTGGTTTTATAGCATCGGCACAGCAGGCTGTACTGAGCACCACATGAACGCATTTATAAAAAGCTTATTACAGCATATAGCACGAGAGCCCCTTTTTAAAGCCCTGTATGGGAAACCAGCACTACTAAATGTGATTATTTCCTTTAGCAAGGCCGTGTAAACAATTCTGTCATTTGTTTTTCTAAAGTCATCAGTGCCACTGCATACAATCCAGCAACAGCTGACAAAGCCAAGGAATCGACAAGACACTGTGCAAAGCATTGAGAGAACATCATCAGCCCGTGTTGACGTTGCAGAGGTCTCCGAGCATTTCCGAGGGATGGCATCTTCTGAATGTGGTATCGATGTATCAGCTCCAACCTTCCACTGGCAGAATTTTCCACCTAAAAAACTTAATCGATTCCATTAGCTTTACTATTATTATTATTATTTTTAATTGCATAGCTTTAACTTCAGATGAAAACAACCACGAAGAGAGCCACGATATTTAGATTAAGTGTTTTTCCATGCATATAAGCAAAGCAGGCTGCCAAAAACACACGCCAGTAGTACATTTTCTGCTATCTAATCTATTACAAGGCATCCTGATAGGAAAAAACGCCCTTGCTTTATTGGTTAGAGAAGTGATGTTTTTACAGATTTCAGAGATATGCGATGCTATCTGCGGAATTTAAGTGGGTCTTCCTTGTTATGGCAGATTATGAAGGAAATCCAGTTATACACCATTTGTCCGTATTTGCAAGGCAGATCACACGGCAGCTGTAACACAGCAGCTGCCCTCGTGCAAGGTTACTCTGAAGTAGAGGGACAGGCTGCAAGTTAGCACTCTGTGGCTTCTTCACTATGGCTACTTTAAACAAACAGAAGACCTCAATACACTTTAGGCACTTGTACGGATTTATGTGAGCGGACTTAAGACTTTTCTATGTCTTGGAAGAACTTAAGTCAATGCATAAAATAAGAAAACATTTTACTGCAAAATTCTGCAATTTTTTCTAGGTAGATAGAGGGAAAAAAACCATACCATATCTAATTCTGGTTATCAGAAGATATCTGTTTCAAGCTATTCAGAAGAACACCTTCTGCTGTGAACTAGAAGAAATAAACTTGAGTCCAGCCTATCTGCTTTCCTATGCTATTTTAAGAAGGGATGAATTATGTTCTGGAGATTGATCTTCTTTTGGTATGGGTGATGCTTAGAAGCTCAGTTTGGATGAGATGCCAGATCTGAGGTTGGGTGATATCAGATACACCCAAAGCTTTTTTTTTCCTGTTCTCATCTGCCCCACTTTATTTCTATCCATGAAGAGCATTCTGCATAACCAGCATTGAAGGGGACAGAAACACAGAAACTCCAAGGTGAAAGATGCAGAGGATATTCATTGAAAAATGCATCAACAATATAATTTCACCAAGGGAAGGGCCATTATCATGATGGTTTCTGGTGAAATCCATATTGAAATCTAAACTGATGGTGCAGCACAGGCCACTGAACGTACTGAGTAATTTGTCCTCTCAGACTAGAAACTGGAATTGACCTACAGAGTACTTTGTACCACAGCTGGAAATTATGATTAAAAAAACCCCAGGGCTGAGCCTCAGCTGCTGGTAACTGCTTTTAAGCCCAGCACATTTAAAGAGCTGAGAGAAGCCACACCACCCAAGAAGACATCTGTAAACTGGCCAGCTGCTAACTCCTGGTTATTGGGAGAGCTCTAAGGCTGATTCACGTAGAAACATTGATGGACAGACCCCAAAATGCTCGTCTGCATCACCCTGGCTTGTTTGAACATATTGGGATCAGCTGTAAAGATGCATCCTGAACCTTCACAGAGAGGGAACCAATGCTTATGTGCTCTGATAGGAAGGAAAACTTGCAGATAGCATACTTGCTTCATTAGCTTTTTTACATAAACGCCATGTTGAAATGGAAAAAACAAAGAACAACCTGTGTAAGCACACTGCTGGTATCCTGCATTTTTGCCTTCTCCCTGGCATGCACAGTACTCTATTGAATTGTCCCTTGTTTTTTATGCTCTTCTGTAAATCCCAAATCACTGCACTACTCTGAGGTACAATGCTGATGGCTCTTCCACGTCAGTTCCATTTTTAGTGTAAATTATGTAGCTTAATCTGTATCCAAACTCTCATCTAGATCACAAATGGAAGGCACGTGAATGACTGATTAATCTTCCCTCCTCTCTCTAGAAAGTGTTCCATGCAGATTGCTTTACTGTATTATCATCTTCACTGTCCATCTGGGTAACAGATACAGCTGTTGATACAGGAATTCATGTCTGTTGCTTCCAAAAAGAATTGTGGTACTTAAAATCTCCAGCTCCCTTGATTGAAAAATCTCCTGAGAAGCAGTTCATGTCTCTTTGCTAAAAGTGGGGAAGCAGCAGGTTTGTCCTGATGAAAATATGTTCATTTTCAGAGATCTCATTACCTAACTAGCCACAAAATGTGACCGCAGTGAGGCAACCTTCACAGGGTTGGCATGTTTACAGCAGTGTCACATAGGCTTCAGTTCTGAGCTCCATTATTTGACATTTCTAACAACTATAGAGAGGAATATAGACAGTAATTTCCAACTGCTAGCAGTTGACCCAAAAACTGCACAAGTGGTAGTAACAAAGACTATTAGAAATTGGTACAAGACCATCCTATTAATTTAAAGGAGGCCAAGGAAAGACATAGAACATAGTTTCCTATATATTTGCCATAATCCATGTATTTCTATACATTGGTAATAAATTCCTGAAGAGACCTTGGCCAGTAGCCTTGCAGGGCTGCAAGGTTATCACTGACTGCCCTTGGATGTATGAACACAAAACCTTGCAGAAATCAGGAAACCATATAAGATCTGTACTTGCTTTGTTGTGACCAGTACCAGAACACTGCACTAATTATTCATATCTCCATCAGATTGGGTAACGAAATAAATTATTAAATAAGGAAATATGTCAACTAAAAACCTGGAGAGGGTTCAAAGAAGGGCAATGACAATACTTGCAGAATTAGAAAACAAGAAATCTCTTCATGCAAGGAAAGATAAGCTATGATTCCATGGAAGCCGAACGAAAAATAAAGTGTGTGTTTCTAACAGCAAGTAAGCACTGAATAAACCACCAAAGCTCAGGGATCCTCTATTGCTACACGTTATAAAATCAAAAAACAAAAACCGAAACAGTGCTCTTCCAGAAGATACACACTGCAACAGAAACCTGGCTGTACAGCATTACTACCATAGGATAGTCAGTAGGGGGGTGGAGGGGTAGGGGAAGATAGTCACAGGGGCTCCACTGGTTGCAAAACACAGCAAATTTTGCTACAATGGAACAACAATTATCCAAAAAGGTGAGCAAATCCTGCTCCAACAGCAAGGATCATATACAGTAAATGTCAACTGTATTTTGACCCATTCCTAAAAAATGGAATGACTGGGAATCTGTGCATAGCTCTGCCTAGAAGGACACAGTAAGTTCATATTCCCTTTCCTCCTGTTTTCTCCTTTGCACCTTTCTTCTTCACACTGATTTCCTGAAGGTCTTCAGCACACACTGTAAAATGGTTGCACTAGGAATACCGTGATTATTAAACGGGAATCCAAGCAACAGGCAGGCACTTCAGTGGGATTTTTTTTCTGATATACTTCTTAATTCATGTGTTGCCAGATACGAAGTCCACATTTCAGCATGAAGCGCAGTATATTATCAATACAAAGATAATTGGGTTCTGCTGCTTGCTCAGACAGGCAAATTCTTGGTATGAAAACTTTAAAAATCTACGGTGTCATGTTTAGACTCTTCCATCTCAGCCTCTAGAATGAGAAAAGGGGATAGTTCACACTTTCCTGCAATATAAAGGAGATTTAACAAATTAAAAAAGTATTCTGTTTCCACGGAGGGAAGAAGCACTAAGAACTTCTGTAAACCAGCAGTTTCTATTTGTTAAGTGGCATCATGGCTTATTACTATTTAATACTTAGGATCCAGCTCCGAAGCAGGAACACAGTGTGTGAAGTGCCATACAAACACAGAATGAAAGACTGTTTCCTGCCCTTAATAGCTGTAATCGAAATGCTTCAGCAGCCCTGCTATCTGTCACTGCTCTAACCACTGTTTTGGAGTCTCAGTGTCAATCCTTTAGCGCCCTGCTCTGCTGCTGTCAGCTTCACAAATGAAGCAGCTGAATGCAATGGGTGACAAAGCAGTTTTTCTTGTAACAAAGAACACCTCTGATTTAACAGACATAATTTAAATACATGCAGGCAGCAAATACAGCATGGAAGGCCACTGGGAACACTGAGCAGAGGGGATGCTGGCTTTTCAGAGAGCGTAAGGGCCCTGAAAGGTCTCAGCCACTTCATCTGCAGACTGAATTGCCCAAACAGAAGTCTGTTTTTCTGTCCTTCACCTCTGATTGACCTCGATTCATGCAAGGAAGATGGCAATGAAAATGGAACCACTCACAACGAGGCAGCAGGAGTGCTCACAGTAAAAGATTCAGGTTGGGCATTCACAGTTTCATCGACAGACACATTAACTCTTACAGTAAAAACTGCACTGCTGTCCATCGAAACATTAACCATTGAATTTTTTTTAGATGCACGTCCTTGGCAGAGAGTGAAGTGAGTATAGAAATACATGCAGAAATGGAAAAAAATGGAGTAGAATTATTTGCTACCAGTCCAGTGGATGTCATCATTTTTAGTGGCTTCTAAGAGCTGGGAATCATCAGTGTAGGTGATGCTATAAATAAGAGAATATGTTTTAAATGGAATTCAGTTTTTCACCAAACATTTCCAATTTTTTGAAATGTATACCATCGAAATATCACAGTTATCCATCATATGCATCTCTACGTTTACTTCTTTAATGGATTTTCTTTAAGCCACTGCAGATTTTAGGATATCACCTAAGGTCCTACTTCTCAATGATTCTAACTGAATAGAAATATATAGAAAACTCCAAATGGACTGCAAACAAGGGACTACTTGTGCTCAAAGAGGATATTGTTTCATGCACAGGAACTACAGAAAACCTGCCTTAAGTTGGACTAGATGATTTCCAGAACTCCCTTCCAACCCCTACAATTCTGTTATTCTGTGAATCTGAAGATAGAGATGGGACAGCTCATTTCTCAGGTCCCCATTTGAGATATGAATTTTATAGGAAGCCTGGCTCCCACAACATAGATTTCCTGCTTCCCCAGATTCTTTCGGGAGCATCAAGGAATTCTCAGCATTGCTGTAAATATCCACATAAAACATCTCATAAAGCTGAATAAATTCTGTGTCTTAAGAGCATCACATTCTTGTTTGACTGGGAGGTGAATGGCACTTCATTCTTTTGACACAGTACATTTTTGAGGGAATTATCCGGCCCCCCTTAGACTAGACTGTCATTTTATCATATTCTTTTCTATTCAGGCAACAATCCAACTTCTTTACAACCCTCCATATGAATTTTGCATTGAATCACTCTCATTTCCTTCCTATAATGTCTTTGCTTCACATTTGTGCATTATCTTTTCCCTTATTCTAAAATTCATAGTGCAAGGCATCTGTCTAGTTCACAAACTTTATATGTAGTCAGCAATTTTTGTACAAACTTCCCTTCTCCTGACCATGACTTTACAAACAATTCTCTGAAAAACAAAACATCAGTGTTCCAGCTTCTGCATCTTGCACCTTAGGAAATGCACTGCTTGTTGCTGCATACAAAATATGTGTTCTGTGTATTATTTCCTAAAAGATGGAAGATTTTATAATCCATTCACTTCTTGTTCCTGTGTTTTTATTGCAAACATACACATAAGACACTCGTATTGGAAGATTTGTTACTTAGCACATATTCTATATACACATAAAAAACCCAACATGAAATCATGCAAGATTGGCATAGAATCATACAGATTGGAAAAGACCATAAAAATAAATTGTCCAATCATCATAGAATCGCAGAAGGGTTTGGGTTGGAAGGTACCTCTAAGATCATCCAATTCCAACCCACTGCTATAGGCAGGGACACCTCTCTCTAGCCCAGCTTGCTCACGGCCCCATCCAGCCTGGCCTTGAGTCCTTCCATGGAGGGGGCATCCATAGCCTCACTGGGCAACCTGTCCCAGTGTCTCACCACCCTCACAGAGGGTGAAGAAAAGAATTTCTTCCTAATATCTTCTCTCAATCTACCCTATTCCAGTTTAAAGCCATTTTCCCTCGTCCTGTTGTGTTGGCTAAACATGACATAGTGGACTGCTGCAAGATCAGTGGAGTCTAGGGGGAAAAAAAAAGCATTATAAAACATATTACCATACAAAGAACATGTAGCACATTTTTATAAATGTCTATGCCCTTCTCAACCTTCTCATACCCAACTTGGGGCTCAGACAGAAAGCCAGAGAACTGAGGTGTCGTGTACATACCCTGAGAGGGTCACGCAGGTAAAAATCCCTCTGAGCTGTACTGGTGGATGGCAAACTGAATATGAAGCCCAGAAAGCCAATTGTATCCTGGGCTGCATTGGAAGTAGTGTGCCCACTAAGCCAAGGGGGACTCAGCCTGGTCTGGTGGTTGGACAACCCTGCACATAGCAGGGGGGTTGAAACTAGGTGATCACTGTGATTCTTTTCAACCCAGGCCATTCTATGATTCTATAAAGTGAGAGACAGTCTAGAAGTAGAGTCTGGTGTGATAGGACAAGGGGAAATGGTTCCAAACTGAAAAAAGGGAGATTTAAACTGGATTTAAGGAAAAGAACTTTTTACTATAAAGGGTGGTGAGGCAGTGGCACAAGTTGCCAGTGGCACAGGTTGCACAGAGCGGTGCCCCATCCCTGCAGACAGCCAAGGTCAGGCTGGATGGGCTGTGAGCACTGATGGAGCTGTGGGTGTCCCTGTTCAGTGCAGGGAACGGGATAGATGGCCTTGAAGGGTCCCTTCCAACTCAAACTATCCTACGGTTCTAGGACGAAAAGAAAACAACTGCGTATGCGGGTGCAAGAACACAGGCGCTGAGAGCTCCGAGAGACAAAACTCGGCAGGCCGAGCCGAGGGGAGGCCCGGTTTCGGGTGGAAGCGCGGCGAAGCACCGCAGATACACCCCCAGCGAAGGGCCGTCACGGCGCAGCGCAGGGCACGCAGGGCCGCTCGCCAGGGGGCGGGCCTCGCACCTCGCCGCCTCAAGCCCTCCCGCCCTCCCGCCCGCCGGTCCCAACGGCCGCCGCGCGCCGCTCACCCTTCGCCTCCCTTCCCCGCCCTCAGAGGGCGATGCTAACAGCGCCACGGCGCCTCCTCCGGCTCTGCAGCTCCACCTTCAGGATGGGCGAATCGGCCTCCAGGCTGCCGCGGAAGGAAGAGGCGCTCCCCGGCAGGAGCCAGCGCGTCGCGGTGGCAGGTAGGGACCGGACCGGCCGCCCCCCTTCCCCCACACCCGTCCCTGAGGAAAACGAACCCCGGGCCCCGCGGCAGCCCCGCTCTGCCTGCCTCCGCCGCCGCGCATGCGCACGAGGGTGGCGGCGCAGGCGGGGTGGGGCGCAGCGCGGTGGGCGGGAGGGGGATGGCGGCAGTCTCCTCGGTGTTTGAATCCTGAGGGCTCTGTAAAAGGCGTAATAATATCACTTAAGCGTAGCGTGAAGGATCTAACCCAAATGTATGGGAAGTTCTTAGAAAAAGCAGTTTCTTCAGTGACTATTTCTCCCTTGAATTTGAATAAACGTGAGCTTTTAAGTACATAAGGTAGAAACCTTGAATTAAGCAACTAATCCTACCTTCTGTCAGGCAGCCTAGCATGGAAAGCATTGCAAAATGACCGCCATCGATTTTAATAGCAATTAGAGCAGAACCAAAACGCCTCAGCATGTGTTTAGGATGAGAGACAGCGTCCTCATGATGTTCAGGTTCAGGTTGGATGTCTGAGGAGACATTTCTCCTCAGAAGGAGTGCTGATGCCCTGGGATGTTCCATCCTTGTGGGATCACAGTCCCTGGAGGTGCTGCAGAGCTGTGGGGATGTGGCACAATCCAGTATTTGAAGGGAGTGTATAAACAGAAGGGGGAACAGCTGTTCATGAGGGTGAATAGTGATAGGACAAGGGGGAATGGTTTTATTCTGAAACAGGGGATGTTTAGGTTAGAAATACCCAGTGTGAGCCTCTTAAGGCACCGTTAGTGGCTGCTTCCTTTTCCAGTACTGAGAGGGGTTTGTTTCGCTATCATTCTTACACCCTATTCAGCTACTGTAAGATTGACCCTTAATTCTTCCTCTGCCTGCAGAAATGTGTGCTGTAGGCTGCTGACCATCTTGGCCATTGTCATTGCAGACCACTGCACCTTATAACTCAGCCCGCTGCACAGTTTGCTGTATTTGCAATGAGTGTATATTACTGTTTTCTTTTTAACCTGACACTCAGTACAATCCCAGATCCTTTCCAGCAGGGCAGAGTTTGTCTTGCAGCAGTGCTTCTCCTTGTTGACCTTCTTGAAGTTTCTGTTGACACAGGCCTGAAATCTTTCAAGGTCTCCTTGTACTGAAGATCTGCTGTTTGACATGCCCACTCTCATCTTCAATTGAGCATCATTCTCAGACTTGCTGAGCATGTTTTCTGTCACATCACTCATGTTCTTGTTTAAGATATTGAATGATATTGGCCCCAGCATGAGCCCCTGGAGTAACCTGCTGCAGACAAGACATCAAGCTATTGATCACTGCCTTTTGATTTTGGTGATCCTGCCAGTTTTTGATGCATTTAGTGTCAAGTGGACTGTTCTTTCAGCCTGTGCTTTCACAGCTTCCAAATGTTTATGCTGTAAAAGATGGTGTCAGAAGCTAAAGTCAACATGTCACCTGCTGCTTTACCCTAATCTGCATAGCCAGTCCTTTAATTGTAAAAGGCAACCTGTCTGGTCAAGCATGATTTGTCCTGGGTTGAGTTTTCACCAGATGAGATTTTTCTTTCTGGTCTAGAGGGATGCTGGTTTAGCAGGAGGTGTCCTTGATGATCTTAAAGGTCCTTTCCAACCCAAACCATTCTATGATTCTGTGATTCTTCCATGGGCAGCCTCCTGCACTGTGTTAATTGTATTGCACCCAGCTGCACATCTTGGAAGTCACATTTAATCTAGCTACATTGCATTTCTTTTTCTTTGTAGCACGCTGACCATAGGAATATGTGACTGTGTGTGGTTGCTTGTGATTCAAATGGCTCAGTCTGCAGAAGTCGGGGAAAGTTGGGTGAAATACCTTGCTGTGAGTTCAATACATTGCAGACTGTAGTAAGCTTCACTTACTCTTTCTGTAATTTAGTTAGATCTGTCTGATTTTCAACAACTTCCAGAATCTGGGAGTGATGTGTTAATTTCCTTGCAGGAGAGCTGCTGCATTCATATTTGAAAATTCTTTCATATGATCTCTACATAATCACATAATGCAATATCATGTTCTGTAGTAAAATCACATGCTATTTGTTGCTTTTTACCTTTCCAGTAGAACTCTCGTTGTCAGAATTAATTTTAGTTGCAGTATTGATGAAATCTTGCTGTTTTTGTGAGTATGTGAATATATATTGCTTACACTATTTAATTGGCTGTTTATGATAGTGGTAGGAGCAATATTCAAGGAGCCCCAGTGATGTAGAGGGAACCAGCTGTGTGAGGCATTATATAATTATATATTTTTATATATATATACACATACATACTTCTAGTTGTTTTTCCTCAGATAGCAGAATATTGTTAATCAGAAGTTTGTCCCACTGATTGCAATGAGCAGTGCCAGGAAATAGCTTAGCTCACAGTGTGTACATCTGTACTGAGCTAACTTTTCTGAAGCAGTAAAGGTAAAACTCATGAGAAGACAGTCTCACAATTATTTAGAGCTATTAAAACCCTTGTATTTGTGTATATATATATATATATATGTATTTCTAGATTAATAGAGTAATCATTGCAAACTTGGAGGAGGTCATTGCGAATTTCTGTCTGACCTTCTGTGTAAAAAAAGAGCACAACATTTCCATGAATTAATTCTTGCTTGAATCAGCTTGTTCTCTTTAGAGAAAACACTGATTAAAAATGCCCTTTGACAGAGAGCCCTCTGCAAAATTTCACAATTTTTTCCAATGTTTCATAACTTCCTCCATTAAAATACAGCCTATTTTGAATCTCCTAACTGTGTTTGAACTTCCAGCCATTGCTGCTTGTTACAGGCTTTTCTTTTCATCAAGGTGAAAAGTGTGACAGTATGTGTTTTCAGCTTTCCCTGAAATATATTTAGATGGTAATTGCACATTAACCTCTTTTTAAAGAAGCAAAGACTTAATCAGACATAAAGCAAATGAAGTGAACTGTCAACAGAAAGCATGTTTTTCAGTCCTTCATTTGTTCTTGTTTCTTTTTCTTAAACTGTCATCACTTAGTTATCATCTTCCTTGACGTGTCGCTGTCAGTAGTGACATAGGAATTTATTAGTGATAGTTTTAGTGTCACCTGCAGTCCTGTTTCTACTCAGTATTTTCCTGTTTGTATATCATGGAATCACAGAATGGCCACGGTTGGAAGGGACCTCAAGGATCGTGGATCTCCAACCCCCTGCCACATGCAGGGCCACCAACCTCCACATTTCATAGCAGCCCAGGCTGCCCAGGGCCCCATCCAACCTGGCCTTGAACACCTCCAGGGATGGATGGGGCATCACAGCCTCTCTGGGCAGCTGTTCCAGCACCTCACCACTCTCATAGGAAAGAACTTCCCCCTGACATCCAACCTCAATCTTCCCTCCTTCAATTTAAAACCATTTCCCCTTGTCCTATCATTATCTTCCCTTTCAAAGAGTTGATTCCCCTCCTGTTTGTAGGCTGCCTTTTAGATACTGGAAGGCTGCAATGAGTTCTCCCTGTAGCCTTTTTTTCTCCAGGCTGAACAACCCCAGCTCCCTCATCCTGTCTTCATAGGGTTGGATTCTACTCTCATCCTCTTTGTTTTGTATTAGCTCTGTATTCAGATTGATCAGTAAGATTGCAGTTTTATTTGCTCTGCTGTTGTTAGATGTGTGATCTCTGAGAGAAAGGGTGGTTGTGCCTAGGCTGAGTTGGGTTAGAACATGGTGTTCAGGAGGGTCTCAGTGTCTGTACAGAACTGATGGGAGGGAGCAGAGAAGGAACAGCAAGACATTCGCTAGTTCCCCGTGGAGGGACAAGAGACAACAGGCACAAGCTGAAATGCACAGAGTTCCATATAAACAGAGGAGGAAAACTTTGATGTTTGAATTTTCCCCAGGCTGAACAGAGATAGGTCATTTTTTCCTAAACTTCCTGGAGGATGTACTGAAGTTTCACAACAGGGATCCCTTTCTCTTCCTTCAGAGAAGGAAGAGTCTCTTTGCATTAATTTATGCACAACGTGGTCACGCATTTGATGGGAACTGCTTTGCTCTTCCCATCTGTCCCCTGGCTCTGGAAGTAGCACATATTTTTCATAGGATTCAGGCAGATTGGATTCCACCTCAATGGAACCTATGTGCATGAAGAATAACATATTTTTCATTTTTACAGGGAGTTTATTTCACAAGAGTTATTTAAACAAGATGATACGTCCCATTAGGACCTCTTTAGTTGATTTCTAATGCTGCATTTGGTGCTTTATGGCAGCGTACATCTATCATAGAATCAGAGAATCACAGAATCATAGAGTCATAGAATGGCCTGGGTTGCAAAGGCCCACAGTGCTCATCCAGTTCCAACCCCCTGCTGTGTGCAGGTCACCAACCAGCAGCCCAGGCTGCCCAGAGCCACATCCAGCCTGGCCTTGAATGCCTGCAGGGATGGGGCATCCACAGCCTCCTTGGGCAACCTGTGCCAGTGCCTCACCATCTCTGCTGAAACCAGGGCACTGTTCCTCGCTATTGGTCAATGGAGACATCATGGCAGTCTCCTTGTTTTTGTTGCCTGTTTGTGCTGCCCAGCGTTAGGGAAAAATCTGCCACCTTATGTTTATTCTGTGCCTAAATACATAAACGGTGTTACCTTGAGAAGTTTTAAATAGATTTTCCCTGATGTTCTGACAGCTTACTGAGTTGTGTCTGACACACAAGGTTCTGCAATGGAATTGTGAACTAAAATGTAAGTGTAGTGTTTTCCAGGCTGCTTTTCAATAAAGATAAGGAAGAAAGCAAAAAACATTAGATATTATTTCCTTTCATGAAGTAAAAAAGTTCATTAAGCATGGGCAAATCTGAAACCTTGTGGGCATGAATTTAATATCGCTGTACAGAAGGTCTAAAATAGAGATTGTTGAGTGGGACCGTGCCTCAGAACAGAGTTTACAAGGGAAATGCAGTTTCTCTGGAGGTTTGGGAGTAGCTTTGTTAAGTTTTGAGCACTTTACCTGATAGAGTAAAGCACTCCACCAGATAGATAGATAAAGAATCAATGGGTTGGCCATTTTATTTAAGTTTGTATGGAAT